TGTCCGAGGTCATCCAGGGCAAGACACATGGTCGGCTGAATTTCGCCATGTGCTGGAGGGGGCCTTGGCTGTGCATCGGCTCCGGTTGCTGGATGTGAGTCGACGAGAAGAAGTTATGTTCTTGGAACTCATCGAGGGATGCGGTCGTCATATTCGTGCTCACGACGGGCAGTGTTTCTTCTACACTTCTCACGGACACTGGGCGGCTTACAATGGCGTGATACCGCAGGGGACTTTGGCCCGCTGCAAGAGCTACCTGATGTATCTGGAAGGGTTGTATTCCAAGTTTGGTCCGAATACTCCCCGGAATGAAGACGGCATTCTTGCAGCTGCCCAGGCGATCCTCTCCGAGCACAACGGTTCCTGCGCAATGTTATTGAGCGAGTGTGCGCGAGCCGCCATCTGTCGCGTGCCTCCTGCGAATGCGAAGTCGAAGCAAGCCGGTCAAGAAAAGGAGGAAGATGAGGAACACGGCAAAGGCGGCTATACATCGTGGACCACGGCAATGGCCAACACTATTGGCAAGCTCTACGTCAAATTGCCTCTAGTCTGCTTCAGTTGGCTATTTATTTCTAATGCTCTGATAACATGAGGGTTGTTCTCTCCATCCCGCCGGTCAGGCAGACATCGTTGCTCAATGACACCGTGATCAAGTACTACGTGGCGTGGTGTTCGAAGGATGTTCAGCGACAAGGCGGCTTCTGCACGTTGGATGGATGCTTCGTGTTCGAACAGGATGGAGGGCTCATCACTGTGGCCAGAAATCCGGAAGCCAATGTCTACATCTTCATTCCCCACCGGATGCTGGATCCGATACCGGAGGAGGTGAAACATAGAGTCAAGGTGTTCTGGAATACAACATACTGGGGAAATGGTCCTGCCTTCGAAGTCTGCATGGCCTCCTGGACTCTCGCTCTCAGAGGAGAAAATGTGGACAGAGCATTCTGGGGTATCGGATCCGGAGGTGTAGGACAAAGTTTGCAGACGGCTCAGGATCACGGCGGCCGATGCGCGAGGATATCTACAAAAGACATATCTCGGCCGATAAGGTTCCGGAACGGCTACCATACGCGATCGACACAGCGCTCGTCGAATTGCGAGGATGGAAGCGTTTCGAATTGAACACTTATCCGAAGCTTCTTGATCCGCAACCATTGCTTTTGTGGTGTGTTCCCCATGTGAAAGTAAAACCTATTCCTCTGTTTCCTTCACGCAAGGTTCAGTGGAGTCACTGAAGAAACACTGGACTCCATGCTACGCCGAACCGTTGCTTGCCGATACAAGGCCTGTTTTGTGGATCCTCAGCGAATTGCGGGCAAGGAGGCGGAAGCTGCAGCCAGTGGAGTATTTCCACGTGATCCGACGTTAAAGGATTTCCTGCGAGACAAACCAGCCTGCTTGGTGACTCTTCGCTTCCTGTGGAACTACGCCCGAGGACATACAGCTGATCAGTGTCGCACTGTTCTGGAGAACTACGTCGTCCACGGCGGCGATGAAGGCCTTACAAGGATTGCTGTGCGCACAAGCTGCGGTCTCTCGGTCGATAACGAGGGAGTGTCCGATCGAGTCCAGCAGGTCCTCGCAGCTTTGACTGTCGAGGGAGCCCGTCAGCCGGAGCAAGTAGATGAGATGGCACGAGCCAGGCAAGCGAAGAAAGAGGAACAACAGAAAATCTCGGATGAGATCAAGACATGGCTGCGGGACGAAGGCAAGGATTGGTTCACTGCAGCTCAGGCCAAGGTGGCCAAGGCCTCCGTCAGTTTCGGTCGTGGAGAGGCAGCAAACGTGGTGCAGGAACTAGCTCGAGATGGTTACTTGCTGTCGCAGACAAGAGATCTTCCAAAGGCCGGACGCTCCACTGTT